AGGGAGGAAATTAAAACACTGTGAGGACATCACTGAGCGCCCTGCCAGCAGCCTTTGACAAACTCACTCCAAAGCCTGCTGAAGTCAACTGGACTTTCTTTGTAGATGCCACCAGCTTGAGGTCACTTCTCATTGCAGGGCCCCACTGCCCTTCTCTGTGCTGATTTCAAAGGCAGCAATGCAGCATTAGAGAAAAGGGACAATTTCAAATAAGCACTGAGTTAGGGCTAGAGAGGTCACACACCACAGCACTGCTCTTATGGAAACTTTGAGTGGAGAAAATATAAAGATATTCACTCGAATTTGAAAATTAATTCCAAGGTCACTGTCTGGGCAACCTTTCAGCATTTGTTTTCCATGCTTGCATGCACAGAAAACCTGAAAACCTTCTTCTAACCAGGATCCCTATGAAATCAGCAGGCCCAAAACGTGAACGGCCAGATGTTCAGAAAAAGGTGAAATGCAAATTGTAGATTTGATTTCTGATGCGATTACATAAGCTGTCCTGGAGGAGAGGAGCCCATACCCTGAGCTTACACAAGTGACCCAGATGGAGCTTTGCTCGTAGGGCAATTCCTGTTATTATTAGCAGAGGCACATCTGGCTGGCCAGGCCAGCCCAGGCACAGGCAGCCCCCAGCACTCACAGGTCCCACACCATCACCATGATGGAGCTGTCAGCAGCTGGGGGAGCTTCAGGGCTCCTCCACCTCCTGTGGCACACCACCACAGAGATGCCACCGGCTCCCCCACCTCCCCACGTGCCCACTCAGCCACCAGGCAAATGACAAAGTACAGTCACTTCAGATGTGCACATTCCCAAAGTTCTCCTCTTTCGGGACAATGTGGTCTTCTCTCACTGTGATTTCTTCCCCTGGGCCTTATGTGCTGGCTACATATGGTACTAATTTCACAGCCCTTTCCAGATGATGCAATGAGATTAAATGACATGGCCATAGTCACAAAGGGATGGCGACATTAATGCAGACTCTGGGAAAAGCTCCTTGTTTTTAGCTCTAAATACGGGTGTACCATTTCTTTCGTATTGTGTTACTCCTCCATGGCTGCCAGACTTGCCAGACTGACAATAGCATCTTAGGTTACAAAACCTACAGTTTAATTTAACTTCAGTGTCCTTCAGAGGTTAAATTTCCATGGGAAATTACTTCTAGAGAAATATGGCTTGCATATGTTTGTGCCAAAAAGCCATTTCTGCTGCTTTCCTTCACAACTGTGATCCGTGCATATTTTATTTTTTGAATCATGACTCAGACTAAATATAAGTTCAGCTTGGGTTTCAAGAATGCAAATATGAATATTCAGCATCCAGGGTAAGTTTTCCCACTATTGGCATTAGCCTGCCCAAGCTGAAAGAATGGCACCTCTGGAGGATCCAGCTGGCAGCAGTCAGAGTGGCCCCTGCCCTCTGAACGCTGGGGTCTGGAGAGCAAAGGAAAGGGGAAAGTGATTTTCTATTACAAGACTTCTGAAGCGACTGCCACTGCTGTCTTTCACCTCTTTAAGGCTCAGCCCTTTTTTCTCTCCTTTCTCTCCTTTACTGCAGTTTGTTCCTCAGCCTTTCTTGGCTATCAGGTGCCAGCAAGTGAAGAACAAAATTACTTCAGATGGCACTTCCTATGGGGTACAACCAGAGCACATTTGCTGTCTTCCCCCATTTCCTGCTGCCACAGCAGGAGCAGATGAGCTCCTGCACCAGAGCATGGCCTCGACAAATGTAATGGTGGAAAAGAGGCTCCAGGGCATACAAAATGCCAGCATTTCCCTCTGGGTAAGGTTATATATTCATTTTGCATGGCAAGGTTTGGGTAGACAAGGCAGGGGGCTACAGGGGTGGCTTCAGTGAGAAGTTTACCCTGTACCCAGTGGAGCCAAGAGCTCCAAGAGGGACCTGCCACTTAGCCCATCAGCACAGTGCATCTCTGTTCAGGAAAGGGAATAACCCCACGAAACTTCCCAACTGCAGCCAGGAGAGAAGAGGCTATGCAAGAGCAACAAGCCTGCAGACACCCAGGTCAGTGAGAGAGGGGTAAGGGCTGCTCCAAATGTCAGAGCAGAGATTTCTCTGCAGTCTGTGGGGAAGGACACATTCCCTGTCCCCCCTGTGCCACTTTGGGGGCAGCAGGTAGAAAAAACACAAGTGAAGTTGAGCTTGGGAAGAAAGGAACCAAAAGAAGGCATTTTTAAGATTTGATTTCATTTCTCGTTATCCTCCTCTGATTTGACTCGCAAAAAATTAAACTTGTTTACTGGAGTTGAAATTACTTTGCCTGTAACAGTAATTCTTGATTAATCTCTCCCTGCCCTTATCTCAGCCCCCAAGCCCTTTGTTATATTTTCCCTCTCCTGTCCAGCTGAGGACAGGAGCAACAAAGCAGTTTTGGTGGATACCTGGTGTCCATCCAGGGTCGAATCACCACAGACTATTTGTATTTTAATGCAAACAAAACTGAACTCTGAACTGTTTTGCAGCAATGTGAACGTCTCCTTTCTGAGGATAAACCAAAATGCCAGATCAAGTGGAGGGGAAGGTTTACAAGGGTTTGGGTCTAGCTGGACCCGTGAGATATAATGGCCACTTCACTCCCATTTTGTCAAAGGTTTATAACACTAAACAGGTGGAAAATAGAGTGATTAAGCTCTGTGACTTTTGTGCTGCCTCTGTAATGGCATCACCCTGGAGTGTACTTGGGCATCTGCTCGCCCCCAGAGCAGCCTCAGCCCTCACCCAGGGCTGCTGTGCCCTGAGCACCAGTGCAGGGGCCACACGGGGACCCTTGGACCCTGATTTATATGCTGATCTCCACACCGAGTTTCCAGTAACAGCTACATGACAGGACTCTGGAAAATGGCATCTTCCTTCGTGCATAAAGAACCCTGTGGACTGCAGCAGTACTTCATGTTCCTGTGCACCACTCCATAGGCAGCAGATGGGACCAGTCACACATTGTCAGACCTCCATCAAAGACTCCTCCCCATCCTCCACAAGCCTTCACCCTACTGTCAGGAACGTCCCCAAGTCCCACCCAAACTCCAGCACTTTCCAGTGCTCTGCCCTTTGCCACCTGAAACCCCCACCCACTTCTGCCAGGGTACACAGCAAAGCATCCCAGCAGGCCTTGACTACCCACAACTTTATTTCTGTGAGATCCTAGAGACAGAAGGCACAGCCTACCTGTAATTATTATTAGAAGGAACTTATAATTATCTTTTCTGGGTTGAGAAACAATAAAAGAAAAGGAAATCAAAATTATAAAGGAAGTGTTCATATTGCACTGTGAACACCTACGCAAATGATACCCAAAGCTGCATCTCACCATTTGTTATTCCCTTGTTTCATTATTTTTCTTTGTCCTTCATTTTCACTTCTGTATAAGACATTTTGCTCTTTTGCTTCATAATTTTGTTTTTTAATTTATTTGTCCTTATTTCTTTTTGTTCTTCCTTTGATCTTTATCCTTTTAACTTTTGGGTTTTTTTCAAAAGCTTTTTTGTAAATTTTGCCAGTATCCATGTGCTGTCTTTGATGCACATTTGAATTTGCTGCTACTTTGCTCTTCATGCAACTTTTATTTTTCTTGCTGGCTTATTTATCTGTGGGACAGAAGCAATCAGATGCCAGGAGCCTTATTGCATCACTGCACACTGTAACTACTGTATTTAATTTTCACTTTATTACCCCTAGAACTTGACTTGCCCACCTCAACTCCATTTTTACACTGGAATTCTAAAGTGGATCCTATGGATAACCAGCAAAACACATCTGTGGCCTTACATGAAGGTGTCCAATATCACTGATTTGAGTTTTGCAGAACTTAGTCCAGCAAAGTGGTGATCATTAGGGAGTTGGGCAGGAGCTCTGCTCACATTTATGGTGTTATTCACTATGAGCTGAGCAGGATCTCTGCTCCTGGTGATGGAATTATGTGCAAGGGCTTCACCAGCCTCTCCCTTCAATCTGTTCAGTCCTTGAATATCAAACTTATATTGATTTCAGTGAGTAAATGAGGGGGCCAGGCAAGTTTTGCTGGCTCACCTCAAGCTGAGGGAATCAGATCCAACTGAACAAAGCTCTTCCTGTCACATCAAGGAGAAAAGCTTTGAGCCATGGCACTACCCCTTCAGGGATCTCAAGCATGAGCCCTTTCTCAGAGCTACACCAGTGCTGAATGGAGTAACACCTATGCAAAATGCACAGAAAAGTCCCATCCCTGCACCCTGGCTAACCTGCCAGAAGGGCACAACCTATATTTGAAAAGAGTTGGAAAAGAGAAAGGGAGCTGCACACCTTTGCACCACAAAATATGAGCACAGCAGAGCTTTGCAGCCACTGTCACTACAAAACCCGTGTGCTCTTTAAAGGATTAGCTCCAGTACCAAGAGCAGATATGTCTCCTGAAGGAGGATGCAGAAATGTGAGTCAAGACATCAGCACTTGTATGTATGGCAGTCATGTCTGAAGTGTTCCAGATGAGATTTGGGCCATCCTAGCCCTGCTCTGGCTGTGCTAGGGTGTCTTGTAAAATATTTCAGAAAACAGCCATTGCATTAGCTTTTACCTCTTCTGCATGTTTTTCCTATGAGAGAGGACAGAAATCAGAGCAGACAGCCATGTACAGAGCACTAATCCAAAAGATAATGGGAAGAAACTTTGCAAGGAGAGAATTCAATTCACTTTATAACAAGAAAATGCTCATTTCTCACAGTGACATCCAGAATGAGCAATGCTGGGTTCCTGCCGGCTCAGCTCTTTGTATAAAGGCTGTGATATTTTGTCAGCAAGGAAAACAAAGGTGCTGAGATGGGCTGGTCAATAATTGACTAAGCCTTGTTACTCACTGCAGTCACTATCTTGTCACCATGTCTCTGTCTCAAAGTTTCAGTTAAAACTAGTAAATCACCACACTGAAAAAGACTTCTTACCTTGAAAAAAAAAAAAGGAAATTACCATCACTGACAACAACAACAACAAAGACTTCCTACCTGGCTTTGTCAAAGGTCACTCAGCAGTTAAGTCCATTTACACTGTGACTTCTATCAGCTGTGAAGAACACAGAACAAAGCGAACACCAATATTCACTCCTCTGGCTTCAAAAATTTCCATGGAAACCTTTTTTTTCCCCCCTTCTTTTTAAGTTACCTCAATCTTCAAAGAACCCGACGAGGACAAAGGCTGCACTCGAAACCACTTTCACTTTGCGTGTCTGACATTTGTGTTTCCAGCTCACCTGAGAGTCATAGCCTTGACACATTTCTTGGCAACTGCCTGGAGTTTTATCTGCCAGCAGGGAAGGTAAGTGAGCAACTCCTTTCACCCCTGGATTACAGGTGTGTATATGGATATCATCCCCACCCTCCTTCCAGCCTGTATTTCACCTGAGGACACAGCTCAGAGCTGTAGGCTCTGTACAAACTCAGAACACCCTACCCCAAAGCACCCCTCCCTGAAGAGATAGAGCCGATAAATCAAATCTTATTACTCCAACCTATACGTGGAAAACCATGTTGGTCTCTCAACTGAATGACAAACCCAAAGGCAATTAGGTCTGATTTACAAGGGACTCTATGGCAATTATGCCTCCAGCTCAGGCATCTAAATTGTCTCAAGTGTTTTTGAGCCCAAGCCTTGGAGAAGCCCAAGGGCTGACGAGAACAAATGGATACAGAAAACAAATTTGCCCCAAGCACCCTGAAACATTCCCAAACTCATAGATCATCCCCTCCCATAACAGCTCAGCTGCTTTAGCACAAGGGCTACACACCTCCAACCTTCAACAGCAAATGCAAAACAGCCACATCTTATCACTAAAACTTACTATTGATACTAACACATCAAAACGAACAATCCAGAAAGTGAGACAGTATTTTAAAAAGCCCTTAGGGAAACAAAACCAAATTATCACTAGGAGAGCAGAACTCACTGACAACAAAAAAAAAATCAGCAGGAAAGCCCATCCTGCTGATGGGAAGGGAGGCAGAGACACTCCAAGACATCACCACCTCCCTTGGCAAACTAACAGCAGACTCCCCACATCTCCATCGAGGCCAAGCCAGCCCTGGGCCCACCCTAATTCAGGCTAGAACGGGTTAATTCTGAGCTCAGGACCTGCACACAGCTGCCACAGCAGGGTCACAGCAGCAGTGGAGTGCCCTGGCAGAAGGGGGCCCACACCACAGGGCAAGGGGCAATTCATCAGAAGGAAAGCTCCCAGCAAGCCAAGAAATAAGGACACTGTGCCAGGTTTAAGAGGTTTCATGACTCAAGGACTCACCCCAAGTCCCAGTGTTTCAGACCTTCCTATAAAGAATATTTTTAGGATTCTGAATTTCTCGTGGGGTTAAAGTCAGGACTATGAACTATTCTCCAAAGAAGCAAGACCTAAAATATCACCATTTCCCTCCTGTAGTGGCTTTTATTGATAGATCTCAAAATGCTCCAGGGTATCCATCCCATCAGACAAGGAGACAAAACTGAAGCAACTTCTCAGAATCACATTGGCAAGGAATATCCAAGCTGGGGAAAATCCTGGTGTCTCCCAGGGGTAGAGTAATTCACTGCCTATTAGGATACACTGCCTAGTTGTAATACTCTCCCATGAGGGTTTCTATTAGTATTTTAATTTCTATTTCAGGCTGTCACATGTTTAAAATGTCTTGTGGTTTGCTCTCAGTTTCTCAGGTGGGTTTTTTTTTTAATGATCTGATTGAAAAATTAGCCATTCAAGAGGAAAAAAGCTCAAGTTGAGATGTCAAAACATTCATACAAATCAAAATTAGACTTAAAAAAAGAGAATTCCCCGAAGAGATTCTTCAGTATACAATTAAGCTGTTCATAGTTTTGTTGCACTCAAATGGGTCTGTGTGTGACTGCACACTGCAGTAGGCAGAACCTTTCTGTGTGCATGTGTAGCTACACCTTGTCTCAGCATCAGGGTGCATTTTTTCCTGGCATAAATCAGGTAGCTTCCTCAATTTCACTGAAATTGCAAAGTTATTTTATGTGTAATTTAGCAAGCCATATTTTCTATGCTTTACAAAGATTCATGCACTAACTCAGAAAGTCCACAAGGAGCACAGGCTATTTGATCACAATTACTTTTAGAGAAATTAGTTCCTATAAGAAGATGAAATTATGATAACTCAAGACGTGCATGCTCTTATGTCATGCACATCAAGATAATTTGTTTTGACTTGGTCTCAGGGATAATTTTTAGATAAGAACACAACCTCCTAACAAGTAATTTTCTTTATAGCATCCTACCACTTAGGAAGGTAACTTCTCAGCCCCTCTGTAATGTAGCTATATGTAGGATCACTACTCCACTTGAATGCCTGCAGCAAATGTGATCCCTCCACAGGCCCAACCCCATCACTCCAGCAACAACAAGAATTTTGTTCTTGCAAGGCCAGGCAGCTCTTTGTTCCAAACAGTGGAAGAATTAAGCATTGTGGCCCAGATCCTCAGCTGATATCATGAGAGGGCATTTCATTGAAGCCAGGGCCAGCTGATACCAGCTGAGGAGCCAACCCTTGATCTGCAGCAGCAACAGCTGAGGAGTAACAAACAGGCAGGGAAAAAGCCTCCTGCTCCACTGCCTTAATAGAATAACCAGCTCAGCTTTCAACAGGTTGATCAAGAAATCCCTGGGGGTTTAGGCCATCCAGAATATTGTATCCCAAATTAGAGAATGGGAACACTCAGAAGCAAAAGGCTGGAGCTGGAAGCTTTGACTTTCTGAAATCAGTTGAGGGTGGTGATGTGTTTCCACACAGAGCCCCCCTTTGCCCAGCCCTGATGATCTGACAGGACCAGTCCCTCCTTTCAGCACCATTCATCTCCAGCTTGCAGCTCAGTGCCCCTTCAACCTTAAGCAAAGGCACCATGGGAAGGAGCAGGTGACCACACTGCTTCTATGATCTGGGAGTGGAGATTTGGTCAAGATTCATTAAAAAAATATCAAATAGCCAACAAAACCCTGGGCCAGAAGGCAGCCAAAAGAACATTAGTATACATTATTGAAAAAATATCAGCACACTACTTGAAACTTGTGTTGCTGATTCTTCATGCACAGAAGAAGCTGACAGTGAAATCAAGCTTATGGAATCACCTCCTGCTCAGTGCCAAGAGTGTTCCTCAGCAATAAACGTGATTTGGGCAGTGTGGGAGGTTAATGTGCAGTACCCATCAGAGTGCCAGTGTCATCTGTGTTTATAAGGCAAAGCACCAATAAATTAGGTCAAGCACATGAATCTTCAGAGGGAGGAAGGAGAGGGAGAGCAGGAAGAGGACCCTGGGCAGCATGGCCACAGGGGCCAGGCAAGGCATGTGATGCCCTCAGGACTTCCAACATCACAGACAGAGGCTCTCAGAAAGGAAAATCCATTTTTCCATTAGAAGTAACAATAAAAATATTACACTGATTCAAAATGTGCAATCAGGCCTGACTTACAGCTTGCCCTGCTGCATTCAGGCTTTACATCAGAAGGCTGTAAACCGTTATAACAGAAAATAATAGCTGGGTATGTTTACTCACCCAAAACCATGCTTCATTTATTTACCTGAATACACTATCACGTACACTGACCATTGTTGCTGCTCAGTGAGGCAGGCAGGCAGAAATGGGGAAAATAAACATCTACACAGATTTCAGAAACAGATAAGGTATTAATACATGCACAAAACAATGAAGAAATGCCAGGACATACGACAGTAACCCCTCCTGAATTCTTGATTGTGTTATTAAATAAAAGCAAAGGTAGAACATGCAAAGAAGTGCTGAGTGCCAATTTGTAATACCAAATTAAAAAGCCTGTTAGATCCAAAGCAATCCTGGCTTGTGATTGCAGCAATTTAATGTTAAATTCCCAATAACATTCAAGTGCTTCAATAAAAGAGAGGAAAGATTTTAATTCAATGACCAAAAATAAAATAAAAATAGAGTTGATGTAAGGGACTTGATTTCATTTGTATTATTGAAATGAGCTGTATGCAATGACTTATTGATGTCATAATATTCCATTAAGAACTTATTATTTTCTTGTTTACATAATGCCAGCAATTACAGGGGCAGTGCTGGTCCAACACACAGCACAGCAGAAATGAAAAGCTCTTTGCCATATACTGGAATTCCATATGAAGCTGCAGAGTTTAGTTGAGGAGAAATATTTAAGTATTCCTTGCTAAGACCACATTAACTTGGAAAGTTAAGTAATGAACTATCTCCTAACAACTGCCCAAATCGGGCATGATTACAAAGACCCTGTGGCTCTATGCTCACAAGTTTGGTACTTAAAAGCCTGCTTGAACAATAATAAGGAGTTACCAAAAATCTTGGGTTTTTATTAAGTCTTGAAGACAAACATTTGAAGCCAGAGGAGGTAACTTGAATGCAAACATTACACTTGTACTGAAAGGGAAGGGGCCAGGGCCTCACAGTACATGGACAAGGATGTAGGGCTGAAATCCAGCTGGCTGGACACAAATCCCATTTCTTCCCTTGCAGCAGAAAAAGGGAACTCTTCCCTAGGAGCAGATCACACAACCTCCAGACCCCAGCACAAGCACAACATCTCTTCCACCAAGTTCCCAGTTGCCCAGGGCCAGCAATGAGGTTGTCCTGGGAAGCTGCACAAGCCTTGGAATACCTTAGACCTATCCCTGAGTCTGCCTGCTACCCAATTTCCAGGCTATCCTGACCTGCAGCCCAGCTCCTGGCTTCTCCCAGTGGTTTCCCACATCAACAATCTGTGACTTCCTGACCACAAGCCACCTCAGCCCTCCCAGCCCAGCAGATCCTTCAGTTGCCTCTCCCTGGCCACAGCAGCAGGCTCCCTGCCAGCCCCATGGGGTCAACAGCAGGAATGCAAATGTGAGATTGTCCCTAATTTTGTGTTCCCAAAGAGATGATCAGAGAGGTGAGAGGGGCCCCTTTGCTCACACCCAAGGCACAGTGACTCCAGGACAAGAGCAGGGCTGTTCTCTTGCTCAGGGGAAAGGTCCATAAGAAAACAGGTAGCCTGGCATCCTCCTTGTGTGATGGGCCACAGGGGAGCCCACAGGGGGTTGGGAAGAGCCAGCTGAGCTCTGGCTTCATTCCCTTGGCTTCCCCAGTCAGCACAGCATAGAGGCACAGAGGGGCTGTAACACACTGCTGGTGCTCATCACTACCAGCCTCCAGGA